CAATTTAATGGCATAACCACCAAAAAAGCATGGTGGTCCCTATGACTGGTTTCTCTTGAATAGTTTGCTACTATGTAATATAACAAAATCCTTAGCCACAGCAACGCTTGGCCGGTCTGCTAGTATTAATATAAAAATATAAAAAATCCTACTCGCAGGTAAAAGCTGTACGAATAAAATAACGTTTATAAGATTATTAGCCACCAGTTTGCGAACGTTTCTCCAAATAAAAGTGAGGTTACGACACGGTAATATTCCGAAATTCTGTAAAAATAGCCGAGGCCGACACTGTTTACAAGTTTTTACGGTCTTCATGTTCGGAGAACCGAAATGCCGAATTCCTTTCTCAACTTTCAATATTAGTATTTACGCGATTTATCTCGAATTTAAAAGGTACCAAACTAAAACGTTACAAGATATCGCAGTTTTACAATTATTTTTAATATTATTAAGCTCAACACTGTTGGCTCATTTTGAGAAACCAAAATCGCGTTTTAAAGTAACAAAATTTACTTTATTTAAATTTTGTATTCCTTTGTCTTCTATAAACCTCTTTGGACACAGAAATAATATTTGTATTTATGATATTTACATACATATCTTAAATTGTTTATTTATAATGAGTAATTAATTCGACAACGTCATAACGACTTATATTTTAGATATAGAACAGCATTATTTGACACTTTAGAAGTTAAAATCCCAATCGTGTTAATGGCTATATAAATAACATTGTGGTTATAGTTAAATAATCATTCTTCGAGCCGATAGGCTTGTCTCAATGATTCATCAAAAACCTTGCTTGAGTGCCAAAAGCTATTTCCGTTCAATAAAAGTCCTATTTTTACCACGCTTAGTTACATTGAGATTTCAAGATATTGAAGTTTGAACAACGATTAAAAATGAACTTACTTATATTTGATGATGATGATATTAATTTATCCCTAATGGGAATGGCAAAGGACCATTTAGTCCATACAGCCATTTATTATATTTCTTACTCATGAGTCAATGACAATAAGAGTTTTTTTTTCATCTAGTTTTTGTTTTTTTTTGAGATTGTTAGATTTATTATGTGCCTGTAGCATTGCTTACAATTTAGCTTATTTAAATGTTTCTTATTTAATATGTTTATTAAATATTTCAAAAGAAGTTAAGGTTTTGTAACCTAATCTTTATTAGTAATACACAAGTTTCATTAAATATCGTTTAATCTAACCCGTTTCTAAAGCATAATTTTACATTAAAATAATATAAAATTCATTGAAACGTAACGTGTGCAACCGTGAACTGAATAAGTTTTGTTTACCTGAAGTCTGAAGCTTGGTTGTGGGCGTAGTGATGCACCTGTGATAAAGATATACGTGAATTATTTCGCCATAGTGTGAGATTATAAAGAAATGTATCGATAAAAATGTTTCATAAACAATTCAAAATAGGATTCAAGAATCAAATGATGTAGGTATCAGACAAGAATAACAATTACATTTTTTCCTTCCACGTGTTAACAGCTTTTAGACTACATTTGTCCAGTATACAAGATCTTATTAATTTAAAACTCTTAAAAAGTCTTAAATAATGTCTATCATTATATTTCAGGTCTTGATCAAGTATCTCAATACATGAAAGTCACTTCGTAAGCAGGTTATTTACCACCGAACAGGATTGCATTAAATCATCGTGGGCAATCACGCATTGTAACGTTTTAGTTTTCAGATTCTATCGACATCGTCCCATCCCTACTCTATATTGGGCGGACGGTCATACAAGCCGCGACTGGCCGGGCGCCCGCCAGCTACGAACGAACGAACCTTCTACACGCGACCGTGTTACCCCAAACGTGTTTAGTGTTATTAGGATTTTATTACTATTTAAGGTATGTAAATTAACTCTTATTTAATCAAATTTGTAAGCAACCAAAAGCCGAAGTACCCGTAAAAATTGCATGAATATTGTTTCATTGAATTCTATACTTTCAGTTTTGAAGCTTCAAGCTTTTGAATATATAATCTTCAAAATCGTTACTACATACTTTGTTAATTTTTTCCAAAGTCTAACTACTACGACTAGTATTCTTCAGCTTTTGTTTTAAAGTAATGATCTAGGATCTGGAATATGAATTGTATTAATAAGAAGTAACTTAAATTCAAATAAAAACAAATTTATGTTAATATTAGAGTGGGCTATTGTTTAATACGAAACACGAAAATTGAGACTGAAAGTGGTAAGTTTATATGAAATATATAATTTGAATGTTACTTATCGCCGCTTGTTTTATGATGGTAAAGATAAGATTGGGCTTTTTAAAACTTAATAAAAAATTAATCAATCGGTCAATCGCTTTTAAACTCTTTATGTGTTTATTTTTTATTTTTTATTGACCTAATTGAAAAAATAGTTGCCATTTAATAATCCTTTTTCAATGCAACGTCAATAAGGGTAATGAATAATGGATTATATTCGAATATGTAGCTTCGTACTGGCTGATAAATATATAAATGTTTATCGCCTGGATTACGCGCAAGATATACATAAGATGTGAGTAATGAAAACCAATGTAATTGATTGAGTCAGGGAGCAGATTTAGCTCGCGGTTAGTAAACAGGAATATATTGTAACTGCCTTTTTCGTGGATTAATTTTAAGTTCCATTTGACAGGACACTATTTTGCTTAAATAGATGCCTCTATGGTACAATTGTTATGATTCGTATTACGTATGCCACAGATTACAAAAAACACAGCAAAAATTTCACAAATTACTACCATAACAAGTAGAAAACTTTTTGTTTTTAAAATTGTTAATTGGTATTTCGTTTGGTATTGTCTCCAATGTAATAAAGTCTTGTGTCACCATTATGGTCAACTATTTATTTGCATTATTGTTAATATTATAATGCATATTCCTGAAATACATTAAAATGCCTAAGCATAAATTGTACATAAAGTTAAATTACATATAATTTATAGATAAAGCTAATGTTCAGGTTTAATGGGTTTTACTTGATGTTCCTGGACTAACAGTCTTGCAATACCGTAGTAGCTCATTAAGTTATCCCTAATTTCCCTTATATTTTACAGCCGATTAGCAGTGAAAAACGTTATTAAACAGACTTCATTGATTTAAATATTTAACTCAATGACTTAAGTGGCTCTTAGTTAAGTACTTTGTATAGTTATCAGTTAGATAAATGTTTAAACTTGAAAATATTTTCAAAACATAAATAATAATACAGCTCCAGGTGTTGCGGAAACTGGAGGCGGGTGACTAATTTGTACCTGAGCCAACGTGGCGACCTTTCAAATGCGCTTGCACGTAAACTTGATGCGTAATTCGACAGGTATTTTCTGGCGAGCTCGCCGTCTGGTTTTGTATTAAATATATTAGTTCCAGACATAGGTACGTAAAATAAAGTTATGTACCAAGCTACCATCTCGCGCGCTATAAAATAGTTATAGCATTACAAAGATTGAACGTATAAAAGTATATACTATATCACAGAAAAAACTTTTATTTATTACGCTGGAAGCAAATAGCCAGAACAGGAGCAGAGGTTTGCTGCTCGATCAGTTTTAGGCCTGATGGGCTGTAGCACCTTGTTGATGACTAATTTTATATTTATAAAACTATATAGGAAAAAAATGCCTTTAAATGTAACAAGAGAACAAACACAATTTTTGATTAATGATATCACGCAAATATTCGCAAGAGTTATAGTTTAATTGTCGTTTAAATGATCGCTTTCACATAAACTTATATTCTCCTTGAAGTTCCACAGTTAGTTTAGTATTAGTTATTTACTACTTGTATGCCGATACTTTTTTATACAATCTGCCGGTAGGTATATATTGCCCAAAATTAAATATTACTTTTAAATCCAATAAAATATACAGTTTGATCCATTAAATTTAAGTGGAACACCTGTTGTTTGTATATCTGCAAAGACCTAATTTCTTTGCCTTGCTCCAAATAGCCAAGATTTAATAATAAAATTTATCAGTAATATTCCAGCACCGTCTTTGCCAAGTAAGAATTTAATTCAGGCGGAGTTGGCGAAGTTGGAATATTTGTCTGGCTTGGCCAATAGGTGATAAAAACTATACATATAGATAAATTTAAAGATCCTGGGATCTTAAATGTCATGAATAGTTATAGAAAATAGGAATGCAGGAGGCAGATTATTCTGAGCAGCAGTCGGAGTGAGTTATGAAATTGTTGATGGAAACTATTTGGTTTATCTAATCTAATACATTATTAAAATTAAATGGTAAAAAAAGGTTCTCTCATCACCATTCCTTAGAACAAATTGCTATCGCATCTATAACGTAATGAACGTATAGTAAAAAAAATATAACCTAATAGTGGAAACATCGGTTTGAATCGATATAGTAGATATAAATAATTTGGTAGTAATAAATACATTTTAATAAAAATAAATACAAATAATAAATAAAGCAGAGGAACTAGACGAAAACCATACTTGACGCATTCTTGCAAATATTTATTCATTTCGTAAAAGCGGTTTGAAAGAAATGGAAATTTGTAGATCGTGTTTGCTATCGGAAAGCGTAGTTGGTCTAACTATAGCTTGGCTAGAAGCCATCGGCTATAATTCTGGAGTGCCAAAATTCTACCACCGCATTCCGTTATCGATAAATTCTTTGACTATTTGGGGTTGTATTTTTAACCCTTATTTATATGATTATATAGTATAGTACGTGCAAATAGCGTATGTTTTGAGATATAACCTGTTCAATTAGCAAGATTGTTTTAAAAATGGCGTAATTTCGTTTTTATAACGTTTACATTGATATTGTATCAGTCTTGCATCGGTCTGTAATTTCTTGGATAAAAATATGAAAACTGAAGCTTTTTGCCCGGTTCTCCATGATTTTGTACTATATATGTATTTGTATGTGGTATGTATGTTAATGTGCACGGTGATCTCATTTACAGTTGGAGGTTACGTCCTGTGCACGCACTCACTAGATCATCAACGAAATGGCTGAAAACGGGTAATTATTATTTTAGTTTTGCTCTCTCTTTACTATTTTCTGTACAAGATAAATTATTTCAAATAATATTGAAGCTTAAATACCTATTTAGAACATGTGTATCTTGTAGAAATATATACTTATCGGGCGTATATAAGTAAGAAACAAACGACAAGGTTGTTGAATATATTGGACACACTCTGCTGCTATTTGCTAACAATATAGAGGTGAAATCTATTCAAAGAGAGTTTGTTTACTAAAATAGGTCAGCCGAGGTATAAATGTTTCTTAACAATACTGTACATAAATCAGAATAGGTCAACTTTATCCACTTGCCTCATATCCAGTTGTCGTATTGTACAAAAATAACATAATGTTTGGCTGTTCTCCAGATACGGGCCCACGCCCGCTGGTCACATCGGCAGAATCCCAAACTTCGGCAAAACACAAGTAAATGTAAGTAAAATTATAATTGTTTGTGAAAACATTACTTCAATAATAATGACAATCAAAAGTAATTTAAAATCTAAGCATCTGATATGATTGTTTTAATATGATATTTTTTCAATCTTCTCCTCTTAATTTCAGCAATTTGGAAGTAATGAACCGCCAGCATGCATACAAAACGCCATGATGACAAAGGATAAAAAGCCATTTACCTACACTCCTGGGGGCTTAGATTTATCTCAGATCAGAACGCCAAGTATGGCTCGACGAATGGCACGACAGCGATCATTAGAAGAACAGGAACAACCGTACGGATGTATAACACAGGGAAATGGAAACTGTCAACCTCAAGGTGGTCCAGCACCACCACCTCCACCGCCAATGAAAATCCCAGCCCCACCTCCACCTCCCCCACTCGTTATAGAAGCTCCTAATAACAAGTCTCCGAAACCGCCAGCATTAGGAGAACGACCAGAGATAGTAATACCTCAAAATCCAATAGGCATGCTCAGAAAAACAAACAGCCCATATCACTGGGAAGCTGAAAAAGCTGAACTACAACGCATAGGCCCTGTGCCTAAATTTCTTGAAAAGGTTCCAAGTCCATTAACTGTAAAGTTACCGCAAAATATTCCACAGAGCTTTGGTTCGCCACAGAATAATTATCAACGACCAAACACGTATGGAAATCAGTATCACTCTCCTGACAGTCCTCTTCATAGACCTGAGGCACAATATGGTAACCAAAAAAGCATGTCACCAGGAGTAAATGGCTCACCACCTACAAGAGAACTTCTCCTTCGCCAAGATTCACAGTTTAATAAAAGCCCACAACCTTATGCCAACCAACCACCATTGGTCAGTGGCATACCTTATTCCCCGACTCCTAATAGTCATTGGCGTCAACCAGAAAAAAGAGATTCACCTGCCAAAACTAATCCACAATCACCGCAAGTAAACCGCGGGCCATTTTCGCCAAATAACCAACAAAATACACCTATTTATAATCAAAATCCACAAATGAACAACGTTTGTCACACACTGCCAAGAGTGGCACAGAGGAATCAAGATGTACAAAATTCGATAAATAATGTAAAAAATGATTACAATCCTAACACAAGCAATGAAAATCCTCAATATACTGAAGCCCCATGGCGTACCACCACTTTAAATAGATATCCACGCGAACCTCAGCAAAAGGCATACAACAATCAAAATGAACCTCAGGCCTACTCTCCACCATGGAAAAGCAACGATGTCAATAATAATCAATCCGAAAATAATTTACACGGAGGTGTGCCGTGGAAGCGAGAGAGTAGAAATACGAATCAAGTAAACGAAAGAGTGCAAAATAATTCTTCTAGGGTAAATCAAGAAGCAAATAGAGGGCCAAGTGATTACTCAGCCCCTTGGAGATCACAGGAAACAGAAAGATCTGCTCCCAATTCTCCGCCGGAAACGAGATATCAATCGTCAATATCAATTCCTGTTTCACCCCGAAAACAGCCCCCACCACCTCAATATAACAATAGTCCATCTCAAAAAGAAGTCGTTTACGTTAATGAAGAACCTGTATATTACTGCCCCGAGAGTCCGAAGTCGATGCCTCCATGGGTAAAATCACAGAAAGAAAAAACTAAAACACCGCCTCCTGCATGGTGCCAGAGGCCTTTAGATGGGACCAAAATATCGCCAAGAGAACTTGAAACTCCTCCAAGAGACGCAAACCAAGAACCGGAATGGGTAAGAAAGAGTAACGAATTGCAAAGAGGAGTACGTGACGTTGTCAGCCCTCCAAAATATCAACAAACGACACAACCTAATTGGTCAACCAAGCCTTCAGAGAATAGGAAAAGTCTTCCACGTGATAACACTCCACAGCAACCTTCAAGTAGAATTATACCAATACAGATGGAAGTCTCTAGTACTGAAACAAGGAACAGACAACAAGGAAATCAACAACCTCAGTTAAGGATAGTTATTGATATGAATCAAAATCCTATTGCACAGAATCAACATCAGTCTCAAGCACCGTATTCCCAGCCTACTCAGCGGATCATGAGAGTTTTATCACCACAATTAGTAAAACTTGATGATGGATCAGCGGAACGAGACCTACCATCACTTAATAGAAATTTCCAGAGTCAGGACGGTCAACCAAAAACTAGGATAATACCAATTCAAGTCGAAGGATGCAATGGTGGCGGAAACAAAAGGTTTGTATTTTTTATACAATGGATCCAAAAATATAAATCCAATTCTCTGTTCACTTTATTAAGTAATTGAAAAACAGGACTTGATAAATTAAACGTTGTATCTACTTAATTTATTATTGCAATTGAATATTACCTACTTAAAATCTTAAACATAGTTTTAAGAGTTTATGCAACATTATATTATTTCCCTTTTGTTGGTCTTATGACTAAGTAGGGAAATAAACTGAATTTAACTTATGATTTTCAGCTTCGGTGGCCGGTATTAGGGGCGTCGTTTGCACTGTCCAAAGTAAATACATTTTATTGCACCGCTTCTACCAATGAGTCAGAGTTACGCCTGCTGTATATTTAGCGCTAACACGCTCTAATTTTGTTTTTATTACACTAATCGAATCATTTTCGCTTGAACTTTTAATTGGTTATCTAATTGTAACACTTTCGATAAAATGGTAGTAGTAGATATTTACTGATCTGCCTTTAATTATATATTTTTTTAGTTTAGAAGAATTTTTACTTTCAAATATTTTAATTATAATTATGATTATGATAATAATTTTAATTATGTAAAACGATGAAACCAGCTCGGTGATTAACACATGGCGTATAACCTGGGTAAATTGCCGGTAATAATGATTTTGGTTTGAAAGGCGCGGTAGCTGATCGCATCTGTCTGTTATGACTTAAAAAAACATAATGATCGTTGTTTATTTTTGAGGTTGCCGTAAAAATATAATATTCTAAATTGGTACATTAATTGATACGTCAAAGATGTCATATAGATGATGTAGTATGTAGTCATCGCTTTGTATATTTTCTATCCACTATGGAAGGCTGGTGATCTGTAACCACAGAACTTCTATAGTCCTGTTAGAGGCACCGGCCTCTCACAAAGATGGTGAACACCTACAGCATGTAATCCTGTAAAATGCAATATTGTGAAGAAGCAAATAAACTTTATATAAATAAATAATAAAATACCGGCAATAAATTAAGTTTAATATTATACATATGTTTTTCAGAGTATACTACCACAAGATAGCTCAAGAGGAACCGCAGCGCCAGTCCAAATCTTTTAAAGTCCTGCAGGTCGTAAATAGAACAGGGTCCGATGATATACAAATAATCGAAGATAGGAAAGGCTATACGGACTTATAACATCTACCACAGAGATTAAGTTTTACATTAAATAATAGTTTTTTTTAAATTTATGAACGATCTTAGACCGCGCCCCTAATAAGACGTACAACCAAGATTTTCCTTTAGATTTTTGAAACACTTATTTTATACGTAGTGACGATACATTTGAAGCTAAACAGTTTATTGAAATATTATATATGTATAGGCTTGGAGTGTATATATATCACCTTATAATTATAAATATATTATGTATATAGATTACTAAAGGTTTTAAAATAGATAAAGGCACTAAACGTAACGACGTAACGTGCGAGATGACAAACGTTGATTTGTAATCTTTTTAAATAACAATACTCACAAGTTGAGTATCATCTTGAGTTGCGTTTCGGAATACAAGCCTACTTTTTCATGGTTTTAGTGAAATAGGTTATGGAGTCATTGAACTCTTTATATGCGGGAAAATGCGAGCTTGCTTAGTTTTAATTTTATAACTGTAAGTTATATGTACTATATATTTAGATAGCTTATATTTTATTATTCAAATAAACTTTTTATTAAGTATCTTAATTAATTAAACGCTCGTGTTTTGTGATCTTACTAATCGTAAAATAAGTAAAAACGGCTAAAACACCAAAGAATATTATTTTAATGCATATTATATTTTATAGATAAATTATAAATTTATTAATTAATTATTAACATTAATAGAATTTAGGTAAATTATTGGGTAACATTTTTTACTTTTAATACATAATGTATCAACATTTTTCCAACACATCTTGCACACTTCCTATATTTTTGGATCTATATAATCAACTTATTAAATTATATAAATCATCATATAATCTTAATATACAAGTCCGCACTTTTAATATTCATATTTTCATTTATTGTTACTAATATCATCAAAAAACTGTCGTTTGGCCAGAGACCTTTTATTTTTAAAAAGAAATCCAATTAACAAAATTTTGAAATTTGAAAAATTTCAACGTAACGTTCTGGTTTTGGTTTGAGTTACTAAAATAAGGAATTATAACATTATTCTTGGGAAAATCATGGTTTTTACCTACTTCTAAAATTCTCTTTTAAACTGCCTAAAATTTTATCTAAAGTAGATCGTCTTGTTGGAAAACTAACTAAAGTAGTACAAAAAAACTATTTTTAATTATTAAAACACATATATATCATTGTAGTTATATTAAGGCATGCATGATATCCAGAATTGAGCAAGAATTTCAGGAATAATGTCATAATTTCACAATAATTATAAACAGACAAAGGGTGTGGCAATCTAGTCAGTGTGATCTTTTTCTAAGTATTTTAAATCTATTTACTATTTAAGATAACTCGGTAAGAACGAACTATTATTAAAACAATAAACCCAAATGGAAGTTTTATTTACAAATATCGTTTATACGAGTGCTCTCTCTTCTTTGTTTTCTAATTTTATATGTATTAGTTTTGTTTGAATACCTTGGGGTATGGGACAGACACATTTAGCCTCAGACAGATCAGCCTTCTAAACCAAAAGCAATTATTACTTCACTGGAAGTAAAACCAAAAATTTCCGTGTAATACGCCATGTAAGCTAAGCTAATTTTCATGACAAAGCTAGTAAGGCGTTCTCATTGCTTTAAAACCCATTTAACATTTTGCATATAGGCTGAAATAATCAAATATGTAAAGTTCTTTAAGGATTAGAGGACAAATTTACAAACCTGAATTCAAGGACTTTAAAAAATTAATTAGAGATGATTAGGTCCCTAACGCACAGTACTGTAATTGTTTAATTCCCCCTGGGTTAAGAAAAATGTCGGGACCTGTCCCCCTTTGGGGAATTTTCCCGTCCCCGAAATGTACGCCTCGTAGACGCAAGAGATGGAGGGATGGGATTTTATTTGTCCTAGAATCGACATTCGGGAAGTTCGGGCACGTTTTGAAATAACACTGCGTATATACCAGGTGTTGATTATTTTTGATAAACAATGAGTGATTAAGATTACACAGAAAAAGTATAAAATCTATTTTATTGGTGAGGTTCTTACAGAAAATTTTGGAGCTCAAATTGCCCATACTTTGATTTCATGTTTATACAAACCGCCTAATTGTTACATAGTAAACAGTACCTATAAACTACTTTCTTTTGTTGCTATCCTTACGAATAAATCGATATTACAGGTATTTATAGTTTTAAATAAAAATAAAAAAACGGGGGAAAACCAAAAAAAAAAAAAAAAAAAAAAAAATTTTTTTTCCCCCACAAAAATTCAAAATAATCAATTTTTTGAATATAAATTATTTCATTAATATAAGTTAATTACCGTTAAAAAATCTATAACACAATTATTTAAATTCAGATTTTAGCTTGCCATCTAGTTATTTCTAGTCAAACAAAATACATAAGAGAACCCTATTGGCAAAACTGTCAAAAAAAAAAAAATCCGTTTTACGTAGCTTTTTGTATTAATGACGATGTATTTCAATAGAGAGAGGGATTAATGCTATTGGTGTAGTTTAAAGTGCACATTTTCAAGAGGTTTACATAATCTTTTTAACAGACAGCAGACTCCAGAAAGCTAAATAAGGTTTCAATCCAAAATGGACGGGATTTTAAAAATTATTTTGTATACGAATAATAAAGAATACAAAAAAAAGATGAAAGAAAGTGCAATGATGGTTTATATCGTCATTTGAGTCTGTAATAAAAAAAATACCTACGCATTAACATAAAGTAATGTTATGACTTGTTGAATAAGCCTTTTTCAAATCACTTTGGAATCGTCAGTTTTTTAGATAACACTTGTTCGTTAAATAGATATATTAAAAATAATATAATTCTAACACATAAATATTCTATTTCTAATTAAACATATAAAAAGATCAAAACAATTTAATCGGGGAAACTTATATCAAAATAAACATAATTTACACAGGTATTAATTATTAAGTCACAAACGTTATCATATACATTTTGAAAACGAAAATCGTCCAATGCCATTTCTCCAGAAATATCAGCACTTATGACGGTGGCTATCAACGCATTTGTAACGTCAATCTACGTTTGAAAAATACATAAGTATTTTTCTGTAGAATAGTTCAAGCAATTCAATTAATTTTTTACTTTTCAATACATTGCAATATATTCTGATATATGCGTAGCTTTTAAGGTATTATAATAATTATCGCTTGACTAAATTTTTATCATAATAATTAAGTCTCATTTATTCCTTGAAAAATTTACAAAATATACATACACATAAAATATATATAGTATATATATATATATATATAATTTTATTTTTCAAGGACCTCTTATTGAGTATAGGCCTCCTCCAATTGGCAACATCTCTCTCTGTTTTGATACCCTCTATGTCTATCTGCCATTGTTCATTCGAGCGGTATTATCTTTATATTTATAAATTTTAATATTTATGTAAAATCAACACGGTGCTACTTAATTTGCGCTCACGCTCGAACAGTGAAAGAAAGTTGGCATATTGTAAACCCAAAAATTTATAACGGTTGCCACGTATATAAAACTGATTCAAAGATTTCCTCCAAAGAAAATTACCGATGAAATAGATGCAGACGTTAGGGTCCAATTCCCAATCACTAATCATATATCACCGCTGGATGTATGCAATTATATGATATGAATGAAATAACATATTAGTAAAACTGAATTTAATATTCCGTGCTTAACAAATTACAGTAGTGGCTTGCCAAAACTGTGACGCAAATTTTCATTGTCTCTAACATCATATGCATCGGCGATTTACTATTCTTGTCCAAACAGAACGAAATTTAGTTGAAAACAAATTCTTTAGTTTAAAAATATTTTATACTTTAATGTACTGAGTGAAACACTCCTTAGTCTAAATCTATATTAATAATATAAAAGGACATACTTGTTTGTAGAGAATAACGTCAAAAATAAATAGACCGATAAAAGAAAATCACACTTAGAACGCCACATTATCTCTTAATAATATAATTTATACTTTTATACTTATAGTTTATACTAACTGTTCAAAGGATTTTGCAACTAATAGCTAATTTTCTAAATTAAAACCCGATAAATTAACTAGAAAAAATGAGATAATAAATCACAAGTGTAATTTTTACATAAGTTTTACATAACTGCACATAATTTCACATATTACTTTGCCTTATCTCAAAAATTACATTGATCAATGCATGAATGGCGCCAAAATTAGGTTATAAAAAAAAAAAAAAAAAAAAAAAAAAAAAAAAAAAAAAAAAAAAAAAAAAAAAAAAAAAAAAAAAAAAAAAAAAAAAAAAAAAAAAAAAAAAAAAAAAAAAAAAAAAAAAAAAAAAAAAAAAAAAAAAAAAAAAAAAAAAAAAAAAAAAAAAAAAAAAAAAAAAAAAAAAAAAAAAAAAAAAAAAAAAAAAAAAAAACAAAAAAAAAAAAAAAAAAAAAAAAAAAAAAAAAAAAAAAAAAAAAAAAAAAAAAAAAAAAAAAAAAAAAAAAACAAAAAAAAAAAAAAAAAAAAAAAAAAAAAAAAAAAACAAAAAAAAAAAAAAAAAAAAAAAAAAAAAACACCACCACAAAACCACCAAAAAAAAAAAACCCACAAAACCCCCACAAAAAAAAAAAAAAAACAAAACAAAAAACCCCCCCCACAACAAAAAAAAAAAAAAAAAAAAAAAAAAAAAAAAAAAAAAAAAAAAAAAAAAAAAAAAAAAAAAAAAAAAAAAAAAAAAAAAAAAAAAAAAAAAAAAAAAAAAAAAAAAAAAAAAAAAAAAAAAAAAAAAAAAAAAGAAAAAAAAAAAAAAAAAAAAAAAAAAAAAAAAGAGAGGAAAGGGGGAGAGAAGAAAAGAGGAAGAGGGGAAAAAAAAAAAAAAAAAAAAAAAAAAAAACAAAAAAAAAAAAAAAAAAAAAAAAAAAAAAAAAAAAAAAAAAAAAAAAAAAACAAAACACCAAAAAAAAAAAAAAAAAAAAAACAGCAGAGAAGGAGAACCCACCAAACAAAAAAAAACAGCCAGAGAGGAACCCA